ATAGCTTATTTCCAAACATAATGCATGTTATCAGGCATTCAGCAGCCCCCGAGAAAAGAGAAAATCCGGAGATCGATCACCCTTCAATAAAAAAAAAAAAAAAAAAGAATGTACAACATTAAAAAAAATAAAATCCGGGACTGTACGTGGAAGAAACGCAACAAAGACCAACAACAATATACTTACTATCTTCGGGTCTGGAGTCAGCGTGCCGATGGGAAATCTTTTCCCTGTCTGGAACACATTTCGAGAAACATGCGGCCATAAATAGGGCTGATTGCACTCACCTGAATGTCAGTAGCAGCTGCTCCATCAGTAGTAATAATTGCTGCAGCAACCGCATCATCGGCGTCTGTGGTGCAACGGTTAGGCGCTTCGCTGTCGCACGCAAAAGACCCTAGTTCGATTCCCAAGTGGTTAGGGTTTTTATCGAGTATCTCCATCTGTCTGCTGGGACGTGGTATTCAACCCCGCTCGAGTTGCCGTGCCACTGCCAGGCAGGGTCGAAGTCAAGTCCTCATTCTAAATGATCTAAATTGAGTCGATTCAAGTGTAAAAACACCTAAATTATAGATTGCACATTGCAGCACAGGGTTGAAACAAACCCAGAGATAGTAGTACATTTTAACGGCAGCAATAACATTGGTAGCAGCGGTGTACAACAACAACTATAATAATAATAATAATAATAATAATAATAATAATAATAATAATAATAATAAAAAAAATAAAAAAATAACAACAGACATTTATATAGCGCTCAACCCCGATTAAAGTACATGTACATAGGCTCTCGACGCTTTGCAATACACCAGTAACATAAACCGCCGTGTTCTGACAGAAAGAAAATCTCTCTAAATATTCGTCTTATTAATTTCAAAAACAGAAATGACTTCAGCTGAAATTTGAATGAATAAAAGGATTATTGATCTCTCTTAAAATACTTGGCAAAGCATTGCGATCGAGTCTGCCCTGACGACTATATATTTTATAAGACAATCACCTGTAATAACGGCCACTCCCCATATTTTCATTCCTTGCCTATCCTTTTTTATACTAAAATGACAATGTGTCGGGCGACACCTCTCTAAGGCGACCATTTTGACAACCTCGACAATGGAGGACCGTCTTAGACAGGTTCAACAATACGTGCATGGTGTTAACTTTTGCAACAGAAGCAGAAACGACGGTAACAGCAGTAACACAAATACCCAAATATGCGGTTATATTTGTGAAAAAAACCCCAACCAACATGCAGTCGTTTTCGTGATTATGCAGTCATCTTTGTAAACAAACGTAGTATATGGTATTCTTTGTGAATAAAAGTATTTTGCTGACCCCAAACGCTGACATGTAAGAAGCAGGAACGAATAGTTTATTTGCGAAGATTTAGATAAGATTGGGAGAACAAGAAAAGGAAATCGAAAGTTCATTCATTTTTAAAAAATCCATTTATAAACAATACATATATGCATATATTAGTAAGCAAGGAATGGATGAAAGCTGATGAGGTATACATCCCCAAAGAAAGGGATTCTGAGAACCAAGTTCCGAAAGAGATATGTCAAATGCTCCATGCCTACTTCGAAGGGTTCCTGATGCGATTCAGCACGGATGAATATATACAACAGACTGGGTTAACCTTTAGGTGGGTAAAGCAATGGGATGCACGGTTTCGCCAGTCCTTTTCGTCCTGGCGATGCAAGTGCTTATCAAGGAGGCAGAAAGCAAAGCAATCCCAGCGGAAATTGGAGCAGGTTGTCAAATGTCACCTCTTAAGGCATTCATGGATGACACGACAATCCTAACCCCCCAGAGAAGAAGAGACACACAGAATACTTCGTCTTCTGGATGATTTGATGAGATGGTGTCGAATAAACTTCAAGCCAAAGAAATCAAGAAACCTCTCGCTTAGAAAGGAAAAGTGAGCAAGCACACCCATTTCCATGTAGGTGGCCAACGGATCCCCAACGTTTCTGAAGAACCCGTAAAGATCCTGGGGAGGAGGTATAACGAGACCCTGAAAGACACGAGACAATCGAAAGAGACAGCACTCAGCACTGAAAGCGGGTAAAAGAAGATTGACCGTTATCCTCTACTGGAAGGCATAAGGTCTGGTGCCTCCAGCACATGCTGATCCCAATGTTGCCGTGGCCGCTCTTGGTGTACGAAATTGCCACAAGCGCGGTGGAAACAATGGAGGCAAAGATTTTTAAAAAATCACTAGGAAGTGGCTTGGTGTTCCTCCAGGGCTTTCAGATGTTGCCCTGTACTACCGACAGGCCAAGATGAGACTGCCACTAAAGTCAATAGTGGAGGAATGCAAAGCTGGCAGGACAAGGCTGCAGATGATGCTTGAGAATTCCCAGGACGAGGTGGTCAGGTCAATTCAACCAACACTGAGAACTGGCAGAAAGTGGAAAGTCTTGGATGCCGTGATGGATGCCAAAGATAACCTCAGGCTTAAAGAAGTTATTGGCCATACCCAAGTTGGAAGACAAGGACTTGGAAGCGAGAAGAGGCTGTGGTGGTGTAGGGCACACATTAAAGAACACTGAGACATGGTGATCCAGGAAGTGAGGAATGCGAAAGACAAGAAGAGATTCCATAAAGCGGTCCAACAGTCGCTGCAGGGCCAATGGACAAACTGGACCGATGCCCTGCAAAGATCCCTTACTTGGAACGACGTGTGGCACATGGCACATCTGAGACTTAGCTTCATCATCAGAGCTACACATGACTTGCTGCCATCAAAAACTAATTTCGTGAAGTGAGGCAAGAAAGAAGACCTCGCTATCCATTCTGCCAGGAGAGACAGACAACAGAAAATGTCTTCAGTTCCTGAAGAGTATCCCTTGCTGACGGCAGATACACGTGGCGACACAACAGAGTGCTGAAAGAACTGGTCCTCGCAATGTCCTGCAGCCTGGAGACCGACCCCGACATCACAGTAGCTCCAGCCCAGACATTCTTCACAGCAGGAAAGAAGACGAAATGGGTTGGAAAAAAGCAAGTGTCTTGTCTCTCAATGAGAGGAAACCTTCTAGGATCAGCAAAGGATTGGAAACTAGAGCGGTCAAAAATTCGTGGTGCAACTTATCCTCAAATATCTTTTTAACGGGTGAATCAATGTCATCCATACTTTGCATAGCAGTTTGTATCAATTTGTCTTAACTAAATCATATTTTTCTAGAACACTTGGGCCTAGATTAAAACACTTTTCTTCATAAATTTATATTAAATACTTGAAAGCTCGGTCACACGTAAAATGGTATTGTTCACAGCACTCCCCGCTTCTCACACACATTTTGATTACGCATATGGCCTACGTCACAGCTCATCATTAACAATTGTTACTTGCAAAACTTGTTACAAGAAATAATTGTTATAGTGAACATATTTTTTCACTAACGGGTCTCAAAACATGCGTTCAATAAGCATAATATCCCAATTAGAAAAACCTGACGGACTTGCTACTAAAAGCAATATTGCCCAAGCTGTAGACATTAAAACATTTGTAGAAACCACCCACTTGGATTTTTAAATTAGTATTTATTAAGAAATTTTCTAGAATACAGCTTGCAGGTGTTTACAAAAATGTTGATCTGTTAAGACAAATTGATACAAGTCACTGTGCAAAAATTGGAGAACCTATGTTCGATAGTTGAGGAGATATTTGAAAATAAGTCGCACCACGGATTTTTGACCAGACTATAGCTGCAGACCTCCTAGAGTTACGGAACTACCCACCCATGATCAAGAGAACAGGTATCTTTGGTCAAAAACTGATGCTAAGATCGTCTTAATCGAGCTGACTGCTCCATACGAAAGTAAGATAGATGCCCAGCACCAAATCAAGTTGGCAAAATACGAAGATCTCCTGCATCAACTCCAAGGAGAGGGCTATAGCTCCTTCCAGTTAATCCAGTAGAAGTGGGTGCGCGAGGGTTTGTCGCAGCCTCAACATTCACACTGCTGGGGCAGCTAGGCCTCAAAGGCAGCAAGAGAAAGGCAGCTATCAAGAACATTTCAGAAATGGCAGAAAAGAGTTCGAGCTGGCTGTGGACGGGACGGAATGAAAGCTGGGCCAAATAGAACATACATCAGATAGAAAATTAGTAGTAGATTTTTGTATGGCTTCACATTTACTATTTTCCGCTTGAGGCTCCGTGGCATTGCAAGACAACGCACGGACTGAAGACCCGGAAATACCTCAAAATCTCGAGGGTTCGACCCCCGATCAGCGCAAAGAAAACAGAAAACAAACAAACAGAAACAGCAGGAGAGCACATAAGAGTCATGGCCTGAGTGTGGCACGGCCCCCTTAGAGAGTCAGGAAGTTAGGGCCGAAACATTTGCTTGATGGGGGTTCTTCTCTGAAGATCTACAACTGTCCGCTCGCCCCACGAGTTTTCTCCCATTTTCTCCCACATGCATTTAGACGTTTTCATTCTCTTTAAAAAGTGCATTTCTGATATACGATCTTTTAAACATTAATTTTCATCGACGACGTAAGAGCATCATCTTTGGTACCCTTATGCATCTATGAAAAAACAACAACTCTCCTACGTGACTTCAATGCAGAGGTGGGGAGAGGCGGGTGTAGATGGCGGGAGGTGAGAGGAGGGGTGATACAGAATTAAGGTTTGTTAGGCGCATAATATCGGTATCCTGCAAAACCTACCTGTTGCTTCCCCCCTGTATTTCTTTCGACCGGCCCACTGATCAGCATAGTATCAACGCCTTCACCTTTAGCCTGAGGAAAGATGAGACAGGATAACAATTTATTGTATTAAAAAAGAACAATGTAAGCGTTGTACGGCGCGTGCAACTGCATAAGGTCATATGAGAGCGCGGGACACATTAGTAGGGAATTTTGAATTTAGCCCGGGTGGCGGCCGAAGCTTACTCTTATCGATTTTGGACCACTAAGGGATCTTTATCGAGCCCAACTTGCACACGGGACTGCTGAGATTTTTCGCCCTTGTCCGAGAAGGCTAGATGTAGATCTCTCCTACCAGAAGATCAAGGGTGTGGCTGAAAGACAGCAGTAAGAAGGAGCCAAGGAGTAGCAGTAGAAAGGCTGCAGAAAGAGTCAGGAACCAAGAGGAGGGGCAAAGGAGGTGAGGGGTTGGGGGCAGAAAGTGGAGACGAAAGCAGGTGACAGAACACTGCTAGAGAGCAGGAAAGAAGAATTTTAAAGAAGAAAAATTTCCGTCGCGTTCCGGATTCGAACCTAGCACCTATTGAATGAGAGGCGTACACCTAAACCCGCAGGCCACGAGAGCCCCCTACAATTTATTGACTACCACATTGCGAAATTTGCTGAGGCATGGTAAATACAAGCACGAACGCGCACTCTCAAACGCGCGCACACCCAAAATGCACACACACACACACACACACACACACACACACACACACACACACACACACACACACACACACACACGCACACGTACACACACGAATACACACACACACACATACACGCACAAACACTCACATACACACATCTTCTCTCCCTCTCTCCCCCCCCCCTCTCTCTCTCTCACACACGTACATTATAATTAGTGATGAGTGATAAAAAAAACACAAAAAAACTAAGCCCCATTTTGAGCTGCTTGACTTATTACGAAACATGGTCACGGTGGTGCCACCATCGTCTTACCACCCCACCCCCCAAGAAATAAAGCAACTTTTCATTTACATGATGAAAAGTTTTGGGATTAAATTTTAGAAATTAAATTTAATTAACTAATTAAATTGATTTTTTGGGGGTGGGTGGGTAGGGGGAAAGCTGACGATATTTATATTTATTTCAGTAAAGGGACTACTGGAACTTTGATAATGATAAAGATGTTTGGGATAATATTTGTCGTTCCCGAGGAAGCTTCCGAAAGCAAACATCGACATCAACGACGACAACGACAACGACCACGAGAACGATGAGGAAGCTGTGCTTCTTGTGCTTCTGCTGCACTTGCTGTTGTTGTTGCTGCTGATGGCGACGACGATTATGATTAGGTGATGATACTCATCACCCTGATGATAATGACGGCGACACGACCATGGAGGAAAAACCGAACTCCCTAAGGAGTCAGGGTAGACTTAGATCTCTATCTACAGACTTCAACAGAAGTTAAGGACCACTTTGACAGACAACCCTGATTTAAAAAAAAAATCTGAAAAAAAGACAGTAAGGAATGTTTCAAAATTGTTTGCTCTAAAAGTGTTAATAGGTTACCAATGCGTACTGCAAAGCGTCCAAAAGAGGCAAAACGATCACGTGCAGCACGGATATCTTTGGGGAATTTTAGCCGAATTTTCTGTTTTTTATCGACTTGTGTGCGACACCACGAACATTCCTCGGTTAAAATTTCTGATGCACGTCGTAAACGGACGGTTGGTCTTGAACTGTGCTCACTTTGGTGGCAATAAAAGACGCCGTTTGCGCAAAATTCAGTATCGCATCCGCATGCCATCAAGACGAAAGCTGAGAGACTTTGATCGGACCAGAGCTATGGCACGGCTACAGGATGGAGTTGGAGCCTGAGAAATTGCCAGAGGGCTTGCAGTGGCAGATTCTGTCATTGTCCGTCTGAGGCAGCGCCTTCAAGCTAATGGATCAGTCCAAGAACGCCCACGTGCAGGTCGACCCAAGAAGACTACTCAGAGCGTTTTCAAGTGGTCCTTAACTTATGTTGAAGTCGGTAAAATAACTGACCTTGTTGCACGTCGGGAGTCGGGCGGACAAGATTCTGTTGACCTCTGACCGAGCCAGTCTCTTCCGGGTCGGCTGTGTATGGATGACCTGACCTTTTGGAGGCGACCTGGTGGTGGGGGCGTGGTCGCAGTTACAGTTACAGTGCTTTTGTTGTTACTGCTGCTATTGTTGTTGTTGTTGTTGTTGTTGTTGTTGTTGTTGTTGCTGCTGCTGCTGATGATGATGATGTTGAAGTTGTTGTTGTTGTTGTTGTTGTTGTTGTTGTTGTTGTTGTTGTGGTTGTTGTTGATGATAATGATGATGATGCTGTTGTTGTTGATTTGTTTGAATGTGCAGTGCAGTACTTGTCGATGTTAATATATATGGGGGTGACGTTGTAGTTTTTGTTGTTGTAGCTGGTTTTCTCTTTCCTATCAACAAGCTAATCAAAAGTACAGTTTACCCCTTTCCACCCCCTTTTAAAAAATCCCCTCCCCTCCCCTACAAAAAAAACGAAAAAATAAAAAAAACAGAAAAAGAACCCATAAAGCATAGTAATAAAAACAGCAATAACAGCATTGATCCTCAAATAATTACACAAAAAGTTAGAAATAAAAATAAAAAAAAAGAAAAGAAACAAGAATGACACTCGCTCCATCACACTACAAAGCAGAATGTCAGTAAATAAGTACACAAAAAATGAAACGCCACCGCTTGTGTTTTTATGTTCAAGTTACTTGTTCCTTAATCATCTCTCTCTATCCCCTGCCCCCCCCGTAAAAAGGTAAAAATCTGTGAATAAATAAGAGTAGATGAACATTCACCTCAGTTCGAGCGGACGGACCATCTCTTCTCTGAACGGTTGGAGTACTTTATTTATCGGCTGACCGTTGGCGTCTACGTACTCACCTACAGAACATCACGTGGGGCACAGGGAGAAAAACGAAAACAGTATTTGATGTCCCTCCGCCTCCTAATCCTAAAATGTCATTGGTGTGTTTTTCCATTTTTAGTTCTTTTAGGGTGGTTTTGGGGGGAAAGGGG